ACAATAAAACTTATCGGTTAAATTTTTTAAAATGATATAATTTTTTTTTGTTTTAGTATTTTGAAGTTGACCAATTGCTACTATAAGCAATTAATGATTATAGATGATCTGCACCGTACTTGGGGCAAAAAGAACACAAAAGAATATGATATCTATAGTGCTGGGATGCTAATGTAGGAAATATTTGCAGGACATCCACCATTTGATGATAGAGCTCATGATCATAATTTAATTTTGATATATGTGAAGGTTTACAACCACCAATACTACTCGAAATTCCTGATGCGTTATGCGCAAATGATGAAGAGGTGTTGGAATGTGGATCCATCAAAAAGACCAACTAATAGAGAGTTTTGTGATTTTGCTAGAAATAAACATAACGAAATCATTAAAAATGATAATGTTGGTGATACTACTAGTAACAGTGGTAGTGGTAGAGCTTCGCAACAAGAACCTAGATGCCTATCATGCAAGTAGAATATTAGGTGAAGAGATTGCTAAATCTAAAATCTTAAAAATTTACACAAGTAATGATAGTTCGTTAAATAGTCTTGATTCAAAGGTGGGTAAAAATTTCATTATTAATCAATTGGAAATTACTATCCATTAATTATTACTAATGCCAATGATATTGTTAATAGACATTAGATTCTAGTAACATTAGGAATTAATGAATGACTAATTTAATTTCCACCATTTATCTTTCTATTTTATAATAATGTTTTACAGTTTTTTGATTCTTGTTAAATGGTGGCGATATTGCGAGGTATCATTTCGGTTAATTAAAAGTTATAGCATAACTTTTGGGCGACTCTTGTCAATTAATTAGTTTATGACTTTAATTGGTTCTCGATTACTGCATCTAGACGAATCTGAGAGTCCCAACCTTTGTTTACTCACTAAAGCAAATTACGTTATTAATCGTTGTCAACACTCACTAGTTAACCAACGTTAGTCTTAACTTTGCTTAACTGCTCATTAAAGCAAATAAACGTGTCTTTTTACCAAAGCTTCACAATTATCTTTTACCAAGGCACTAACTATACTTGTTGCTTTTATCAAAGTGCTTTAAACAAAGAAAATAAAGACAATGTTTTTTATTATTTTCCTCTACGAGGACCCGAAGTTATCCTTAATGAAATTTTTTGTTGATCACTACAATAAGGATAAAAATGGGATTATAATAATAATTATAAAAAGCTTTTGCGTAAATTAAAATTAGTTGACCTACCGAATTCTTAATTGATGATTTGTCTACCCGATCATGTATTGGGAACAACTGATGAAACAAAGGAGAGGTTAGGATACACAAAAAAAATATAAAAAAAAAGACCCTGGAATATATATTTATAAGCTTTTTTTGTGAGCTTTTATACTTTATTAGCCTTTAAAGACGTAATAGTTTACAACTTTGGTGACATTTCGTCAAACAACAACATTAATTCCAGCACAGATACTCAGGGTGCATAGTTCAGTACCATGTTCAATATGTAACATGCGTAAATGGTGGATGGGACATCAAATCTTCACTGATTCCTCAAAATTCAGAATGGAGATAGTAACTGAAGAAACAAATATGGATAACTGTCAATTGAGTTCTGTATTAATCTCGAATTTAATAAAATAGACTATTACTATTGTGAGCCTGCAGAGATCGTCATATATCATATCCGACTCTAACAATATTACCACGAATAAATTTCATCCATCAAATAATATACATGTGTACTATTTTAACATTTTCATTATTAGAAACGTTTGAAATTTTTATTTCTCAATAAAACACGCACGTATATTGTACGTAATAATAATGGACATTGGTAACTTTTTAGCTTCGGTCTTAACCTCGAAATTCATTACTATTATATAAAGCAATGATAACACAGATTTCGTCAATAGTCTCACTGCTACAACGACGTTCAAAGTCTCTTTTATGACAATCAACAACATCCGAATGAAGTGATTGGGGATAAAATTAATGTCAATATTGACAAAATTTTTGAAAATTGCTTGTTAAATTATTCATTGCTAATTATTATAACAATTGCTCAATCACAATGTACTAAAACTCTTCTATTCCCGTCGTTGTTTTTGGTTAGCCCAGTACTATGACATATGGAAAAGGCATTAAATACATAATAGTACATTATATGGAATTCAAATAGTAAACCATATGTATAAAAGATACAGAATAGATACAGTAAAATGCAACTTTTCTGTGTCTTAAAATACGGAATTGGCACTGCAAGCGTGCCGCTTGAGATTGTCCAATAAGTTATATAAAATACCACTAATCTTTAACTAGTAAGCTTGTCCTCCGTAATCAAACATCAAATGTTGCAACATACCCGCAACTTAGATAAGAGGTAATAATTTAAAGTGTGAATATGGTTTGATTTTTAAGGAATAGTCTAAAATTTGTGCAGAAGTATCGCTACTACATAGAGCTCTCCAAATGCAAATTGTTTTATGGTGTATTGTTCAAAAAGTATTGATACGCAATTCTTTATCTAAATTGAATATTATTTAATTAGGTTTCAGTATTAATTGTTAATTTACGCTATATAATATTATACCTCTAAATCGTGAATGAAAAAAATAACCAAGAAAGTACATCTCAAATTAATGTTTATTAAATGCTATTCGACATTGCCTTTGAAAAGAATCATTTTTACCTTATGGAAACTAGGGATTGGGCTCGGTCAAAGTTTTTTTACTCGATTATAAATTTGTTTTATTAAAATGAAATAGAATCAAAGCTATTCTTTATTCCATATTTTGTTTTAAGAAAATCAGGATTTTTTACAACATTCGGTTTTAAGTTTGTACGTTTATTAGTAACATTGCCTTCTTGTTTAAAGTATTTTTTTTACTGTCTCTTTGTAAATTTAGGTCTGGAAGCGTGACTTTGAGAGCCAACAGTATTTGAATCAATTAATGATGACGGATTTAATGAGTTTGATAGTGGGTTTGGTTAGATTAATCAGTCAATTTGAACAAGTGATTAACCGATCAAAAATAAAATTTTCAAGTCCAATCTCTAGTGGAAAGTGACACTTATATGCTCAAGCATAACAACCACTTTTTTAACTGGATCAATGCAATGTAATATTATTACTAAGCAAATGAGATTTATTTTCCAGAAACTAAAGTATTTAAGAGAAATATCCCTACTTGAAAATTGAAAGCATTAAAAAATATATATATATTTAAATTTTAATTGCCAATTGACATCTATTTATAGAGTTGGTAGAGTTAAATGATATCCTATTATTAGTCATTCCTACTCTCAAATTTTCACAGCAGCATATGATTTAGTAAAAAATTTACCAACTTTAATTAATTCTAATTTCATTATACCATTAGTCAAAAGGTTATGAAGATATTGATCAGAAATTTTTAGTTATTTTTTTTTGTTTGTGGATTATCGTCATTCTCACTAATCTCATTATTTTGTAAGACATGTTGGAACTTTGCATTAGTATCAGGTAGTAAAAATTTAGTACAACATGTGAAATTATATCTGAACTCTATTGTTGGTTGACCACAATGATTACATTTCATACCAGGATGTTTATTATCAAAGCTATCTACCAATTTCAGTGAAATGTTTCCCAACAGATTTCTTGATCTGCCATTTTGACTGATTATTTGTTTGTAATAAATACGTTCATTTATCCCATTAAATCACAAGGACGTACAAGTAATTTAGGTACCCCAAAATATGAAAGCACGCAATCGTACATTAAAATGAATGCAATCGTTGGATTGACCAATGAACGAACTTTCATAGAATTTTCATTTTTATTTTTCCACGCACAGATTAATTATTATTCGAGTACAATGTTTATTTACTTATATATTATATATGATGTACACGATTTATGAAATTCTAACTTTTAAACATGATTGCTTCAAATAGAAGCGCATATTAAAAGCAAAAGACAGTATCATGAGAACTACAAATGTTATAATAGACAGAATGCTGTTCAGTCCTTTTTCCTTCACATGAGGCGAAAGAGGCACGACAAAAACAACATTTTGAAATATAAGAATTTCCTGGTCCCTTTCTATAAAAAACACACGTGTATATAATGCCAATATATTTTCCCAAATTTGTCAAAAGAAAGGATGCAAATTTATCACCAATCAAAATTAAATTGAATAATCAAGATTTTTTTTCACTTAAAAATATTTATCTAATTTCAGTCTAACTTTTATAATGATTGTAATAAAGAAAAATGATCAAAAAAAGAAAGTAAGGGAAAAAATAAAGTATTTAAATTCAAAAAAAAAATCCTTTGATGTTTTCCAAATTTTTTTAAAAAATCAAAAAAAATTTTTTTTATTTTCAAACAAATGGCCGGATCTGAATATAAATATTCCAAGAATGCATGTGTCCGATGTAGTGCTAAACACATTAAATGCGATGACAAAGCAGCTTGTGATAACTGCCTCAAAGTAAGAAAGAATTGTTGTCGGGACAAACTCTTAAAGAAAAAAATTATGAACCAACAAAGACTAAAAAGATTATACAGACGTCCACAAAGTAACAAAATCTTCAATATTTGTTTGTACATTTAATATTTACTAAATTTTTTTTTTAAAATTAATTTATTTGATTTTTTTTATTTATAAGTTGAGGCACGTTACGTACAATTTCTACAAGCCAAAACTACTGATAACACGTCGAATCCATTATTAAATAATTATTTTATAATTAACAATCTCAATAATAATACTACTAGTAGTAATAATAATAGTAACAATTAAATTATGTTGGTATAAATGAATTTGCTTGTCATTATTTTTTATTTTAAAAAAGTAAATTCTTCGATTTTTATGTTAATAATAATAATAAATAAAATGTCCAATAAGAAAGGAAAGTAAAAGTACTGTGTCAAATAGTTGCTGGCATTATGATTTCTATTTCAGTATGGGTTACACACTCAGCCCTAATACTAATACTAACAACAATAATAACGAAAATTGAGATATTAAAAATTTTTCAATTTTACTTTAATAAAGTTTGTAAGAAATGAAAAAGGCCATTTTATTTCAAATGTTAATTTATTGTTTATAAATTATTATAAATTTGTTCAAATCAATAAAACATAACTTTTATGAATCTTCACAAAGAGAAACGAAGAGTTATTTTCATAATATCTATTAAGTATCAAATATCGAGTCTCATTATAAAGTAAATGAGTGAGTATCATTAATACTTGGGTATAGATGAGAGAATGTTATTATAACAGAAATATTAATTCGCAGAGCTAGTAAATGGCGACTTCCTCGCAATTTTCTAATCATTAATAAACACACAAAAAAAAAAACAAAATATTCTTATAATTTATTATCTCGTGACATTCTTGTATCAGAAATTCATTACGGACAAATTGGTTGTCTATACCAACACAAAAATCCCAGCTATATAATAGGAATAAAAGTTAGTCAAACAATAACGTTGTTTTTCAATTTGTGTTACAGATTTAAAATGTATTAATATATTACAAGTTTATTAGAAAAGCTTTTTTTAGTTGGAGAAGCTGACAAAACTAGAAGATATACAGTTGAAACTATGTTGGAAGAGTTGGATGTTATGACAGAAGGTCAAGTTGATAAAAACGAGGTTCCAAAACTCTAAACTATTCGTGGGTGGATTAACCACTATGATGTATATTTAAAAAAGAAAGAGCATTGTCAGAAGTCAGTATTCCAACTGAAAACATAGTGGAAAATCGATCGACATAAAAAATCTTCGAATGGCAACTTTCTACATATTTTTCTTTTTTTCATATGTAATAAAAATATTTTTTGGCGTTTTTTAACAATCATCTGATATAAAATTTGATGCAATATGTAAATCCCTTGTTCCATATGTTTTACGAATTAATGATGATAAGACGATCAACGTCCCACATAATAATAATCTAAATTATTTTTACGTTTTAGGGTTGATTGTGATGGAAAACTCTTAGTTGATAAAAGAAAATTAACTCAAATATGTGGTAACCATGCACAAGAAATGACTTTTATTCTCAAGGTAAAGCATATTCTTGTGATATTTTTTACTCGTACTTTTTAGAAGAATAAATGCTTTGAAATTATCAGATTTACCATTTTCATAGGAACGACTAGTATAGATGTAAGTTACAAATAAATTTTCGATTCTTTTTCATTCTTTTCTTCTTTTATTAAAATGACTTATTTTGTACAACCATCAAATCTAGTATTGTAAATATTTTTATATACTAATAGTAATAGTATAGCATTATGTGATCGTCACGAGACGATGATAATTTTATTTCAACAAAATTCGAGGTAATAATTTTAAAACTTGGAATAATTATTAAAAGATTTACTTTTCATTTACTCGCCTTCCTGAACTAGTAAGGCAAATAATCTTTCGAACAAATTGTTCTTTGAACCTCTGCTTTATTGACCCGATCCATGACTAAATTGGTTTATAAACTATACACAGCCAGAGAAGTTCTAGATACACATTGAAAGTGTAACACAAGTCAATATTGTTTATAGATTCTAAAAAAGAAGTATAACGTATATTATATTTATAATCATAATTACCCTAATTTTTTTTTATGAATTTTTCATTTATGAAAATAACATTTTTGTGCAACGTTATTTTTCTTGAATCGGTAATCCTTGCAAGAAGTTTCAATTTCGTTTTACACTTTTTTTCAATTGCAAAATTGCGTGCTTATTATTTATTCAAGGGTATTTTTTTTAAAAATATTTCAGAGATTAAATATATGGTAAAGTACTCTTCTAATTTTTATTGATGATGGATGATAGCCAGCTAAGAAATTAAAGAAAGGATTTTAAGCACTCGCCTTACACAGCTTAGATATTTGCTGCCAATTTACTTTGTTTAATGATAATGAAAAATTGTCTTTTATTTGTTCCAAGAGATCTCAACATCTTTTTTTCGTGACCTGTCTGCCCCTTGTCTTTTCAATATTTCAGGGTTTCTATCCTATGAGCGAATTGATTTTTTATTTTCCTTATTGTTAAAAATTTTTTTTTAATCAAGTCATTTGAAAATGTAGATTGTTTGATATTGATCTTTGACTTCTCTAAAATAATTTGTTTTACAAATAATTCGAACCAATACTTTTTTCTTTTATTTTTGATCTAAATGAATGAAAAAAGACTAATATAAATTGGGAATAGTTCACTTTTAATTTTGGAACAAATAAAATTTATTGGTATTGATTTTTTGGCTTCGCTAAAATAAGAAAGAAAGAATTAATGATTTTAATTGCCACTGTAAAAGGAAAACATAATAATTGCTTTTTAGTAATAAAAAAAAAATTTTTTTATACTAATACTAATCAATGAAGTCACGCATATATTTTACTGGGGAATGTGGAACATGTAACACTTGCACAAGATAATCACGTGGGTGGATGCAAATTTAGTGGGTTGGTAAAACAAAATAATTGTAATATTAATATTAAAAAGGCCTCGTTGTATTTTCAGGTGTAGTAAACTTGTTAGAATTATTGTTACAATTACAAAATTTCTCTTTGAGCTCTTGTACTTTAGAAATCAGTTTCAACTTCCCCTGGCATTTTTATCTCAGGTTTCTTGAAGGCAATGAATAATATTAATTCTAAATTCAATTATCTATTCTTTGCCATTTTCTATTCTCATACTTGGACTATTATAAATGATTTTTTTTAAAATCGTCCTATAGTTTAAATATTAAGAGGTAGGCTATTTATAATTTTTGTTTAATTGATTACTCTGTTGAGCATTAGAAATTTGTTTATTTTGTATTTTCTTTCAAATTATTATTTTTTGAATTGACTTTATTATAGTCATGAGCAAAAATGCACAGGATGGCTCAAGTATGTCTCCAATTAATATTGATATTTGAATGACTTTTATTATTATTTTGTTAAGCGATTCTTTGTTGTTGTGTGCTATTAAACTTTTAATACTTTCTTGTAAATCAAAAATTTTTTTCTACATTTGATGATCCTTTTGTTGAATGGGAGGTAATGAACTAGTTGATAAATATCCTGGTATCATAAAATATGCAAATAATTTCATACCTCCAGGAAAGTCATTTTCAACAGCTTTAATTGTTTGTCTAATATTGTTGGCATAAATGTTTGAACAGGTATGAGGGAATTCAGGTCTTAACCCATCCATCAATTGACGAATTTTATCACGCATGATGTTGTGTATAAGTGGTGAATGTGACATCGGTACTGCATCAAATGTTCACGGGTTCCATAGAATCTAGGAATTGGGATAGTAATTGAAAAGATAGAGGACAAATAAGGATAATCTGTCAATTGATGATATGTGAAGATGATGGTTTTTATTTTTTGAGTTAATTTTCGAATTTGGGACTGCAACTATAATTTAGATTCTGGACGAATGTCCAAATGCAATTTAATAAAATTGCCTATTGTGAACTTTTTCTGACATGAATTTGCATAATTATTGCACTACTTACGTAAGTTTACATCGGGCTCTCTAATAAATATCATACAAAAAATTATTGCATTCAGTATTTATTTTGTTACAACATCATATAGTAAAACTTGTGAGCTTAATAAATTTCCTGATGACAAAATAGCAGTTTGTGCAATAATTAAATTATTGTTGCATAGTTTTCTGATGCGAATCTATCTAATTATTACACTACTTATGTAAGTTTATGTTGAACACCATAATATTATGCAAAAATTACGGAAAAATTAATATTCAGTGTAAGTGTAATATAGTGAAACTTACGAACAGAGAAAAAATTCTTTATTTAATAATAGAATATTTAAAATACTGACATGCAAGTCGCTGCCGGTTGTAATTTATATTCATAAAAATAGATAATATTTATTATTATTTGCTATTCTTCTCAATAATCTTGCAATGAAGGTGTTCCTTTAGTTGATCATCAGTTAGATAATGAACGATAAAGACATCTCGCGCAACAGCATTAGCTTCATACTATCAATAATACATGTAATTTTTTTCGTTAAAAAACCTTTAAAAAAGAAACTTACAGTAAAACTGTCTCTATTTTTCTTTTTATGTATCTCCAAACAAAAAATTATATAACCAGGAAGCATATCATGGCATCAGCTCTTGTTAAGCGAGTTTACCGAAACAAGTAATTCAAGTTCGTTATAAGGTTTTCGGTTGAAACTACATCTCTTAGCCAAAATTGCCGAAACAGTTTGTGCGAGAATTAATTTTTTATGGGCCCAACTATTTTTATTAATTGGCAAAATTATTTTTTATGAGAAGCCCAAATTATTACCAAAGCTACTAGTTTGGAGGAATCTCGTGTGATTTTCTTCTATTCATATTTGACACTAGAGAAAGTTGAAAAGAATGAAAAGAATGAAATAAAAAAATCCATTACTTTTTAGAGATTTACACGTGATACGCGTAACTAAAATAAAACTACAAATACTTAATAAAATGTTTACGTTTACAAACAAATTTTTCTTGCAGACTTGTTAATTGGACTATCATTCAGTCTTTTGTTATATTATCAAACCTATAAAAACCAGATCTACAATACGAACAAAAAAATTGATGAAAAAATATAAAGCCTACAAAGAACGCAATTCAAGCAAGCTAGTTGGTGTAAAAAAAAAAAAATGCTTACAAAAAATTGTCATCTATGGAAAGATTGCAAACACTTACTTGATGAAAGGACCAAGTTTTTTATTCATAAATTACTTGAAGGAAAAAGAGTTGCCGCCTCTGCTATTAAAAATTTCCATCAACGAAAAACGAATCCTAAAAGGAAAATGATATAAGCAATCTATGAATGGGTCAATGGAAAAGAAAAAATAAAACATGGATGAGGATGGTATAGACGAAGAAGAAGATACTATTATTACCAATAGTAACAATAATGAAACCATGAAATAGATTAGATTTGCGGCCATCTATAAAATGAAATTACATTTAACAATGCTAATTTTCTAAAAGAAGGAAAGCGAGAAAATAATTTTTTTAAAATATTTCCCTTTTTTATTGCTTGGACTTAAAACATTTGCTTCAATTTCGTCATTAATTTTAATTTGATTCCATATACACTCAGTATCTTAGCCACTTGATCATGGGATAAACATTTTCGGAGCCTTCAAATTGTTTTTGAAGTAGCGACAATATTAAGTCCATTATACTTGCCGTCCAAAGTATTGTCCAATTTAAAATCCAGTTCATGAAATTCAGCATAGTTGTGTAATGGTGTGGTGGTTTTTTCGATAAATTAAATTTAATATTATTTTCCACCAATAAACAATTCCCTAGGTCTCTTAGGACAATGAGCATGTGAACTGAACTTCAGACTACATCTGTTCCTGGAAGAACACTCAACGAAGTGACAAAAAAAAAAGAATATGTAATCTAATAAAAACCAAAAACCAAAAACTAATCTAATAAACATAAATCGATTTATATCTAAAGATATTTTTTCATTTTATTATATTCTCTAAACTTCAGTAATACATACCCACATAAAGCATTACCCGCTTAAATTATTTTACATCTTCTCACCAATTTTCAAGACATTTATAGCAAAATTGAAAAGAAAATCTTTCTTTGAAGTATAAATGTGATACCGTTTTTGAATAGCCATAGTTTTACATAAAGAGTTCCTTGTGATATAAAAAAATATTCATTAGAAGCTTAATGACGAAACTTGTCTTTATTATAATGAACTGTTTAAAAAGACCATTCGTTACACGGGTCTAATTTTTACTTTTAAACTGATAATGTCGATCAATAAAGTTCAAAATGTACCTAGTCCAGAAAAAGAGCGGTCGCGTTTACTTCGTCAAAAGTTTGTTCCATCGAAAGTTCATTTCGTCGAAAATTATTTCATCCTCGAACCAGAGACCGAACGAGTTAGATGTGAGGAGTGTGGGAAGTGTGAGGAGAAATTTGTTTAATGGTGTTTTTTTTTGTGACGAAATAATTTTCGACGAAATGAATCAGACCCGTTCATTAGCTCGTGTGACGTTGCAGATCAAATGTCATTCAATATAAACGTTACACGAATAAAATAGCGATTTTCAAACGAATTCATAAGATACTTCTTGTTATATCTATGTTACATTTTCTAAAAATAAATCGGTTTATTAATAATTGAAAGAAATACTATCAAACTTGCTCTTTCATAATCTGTTAATAATTTGTTGATTTGTTCAAAGCACGTTTTTTATTAAAATTAGAAATTTATGACTAGAATTTAATTTTTATTGGTTTTAGACCATTATGTTTGTATTGTTTGCATGAAGATATTGCAAACAAATATCCAGAAAGCCAGCTGACGCCAGGTTGGTGCAAATCTTATTATTAAGTATATTCAGAATCACCATTACTATATTTATTCATGTAAATTAATTTGTTAATA